GCCTCTAATACGGCTTTTTGATTGGTTCACGACATCTTAAGATTGTACTTAAATATAAGATCTGACTGTGAATACAAGCAGAGAAAAAGCTTATAAAGAATATTAATTCGATAGATTTTAGTTATTTTAGCGATTTATTTCGATGAGGAGCACGGCAAAAAAAAATGGATATTGTTGTGTAGTTTATATTCACTATTTTAAAGGGCAATAGTGCGCGGCGGCATTTTGCGATTACAGGAAAAAGGTTCTCATGTCCTCTCTCAGGTATCTCTCTGATAATACTCTCAGAAGTCTCAGAGAGTTCTTCATTAGTTCTTCATCAGTTCTTCATTTTCTTTCTGTCCATATAAATAATCTATAGATTATCGAAAGCTGTGTTTTTTTGTTTTTTGTCATACTAGACTTGCATAAAGCTTCTATTTCGCTTATGTTTTCATTTATTAATATTAAAATCAGATATATTAACAATCAATATTTAATCTTTTTTTTTTGTATATATTGTATCTAATTTGTAATAATTTACACATGTATGCTACATTATTTGTATTGTCTACAGAGCTGAGTAAAATACATCATTAAAATATTTAAAATACAAAATGTATTTTTATGTGCTTCGCTGACATACAAAAATACAATTGTATTTCAATTATATACAGTTATATATATATATATATATATATTATATATTTGAAATATGTCCAATCCTGATTGTCTATAACATGAAACAAATGTTATAATGTATAAATAAATAAAAGTAAAAAAATAGATGAAGTACATAATTTCGTTTTTGTTTAATTATTTATTTATTGCAAATGTAACTCGTCAAATATTATTTTTATTTATTAATTCATTTATAATTTTTCCTGAATCTTTTAAATATCTTTAAAAAATTATAGCAACACTGTTCAAACGATTTTGAAGCATGCACAAAAGTAGATTTTTTAATTGTATTAAAACTGAAAACGATCGCTCGTAAAAATAATCCAGATATAACCAGAAGCAATTTAATGATATGTAATAATGGGCATTTAATACATACTAAATTCACATGTGTGAAGTATTCCACTTTAGACACTGATCCCTGATTCTGTTATGAGTAAAATAGTTGGCTACTTTTTCAGTTGACGCTAATACGTGAAGGAATTTTAGAATTACAGGAAAAAGGCTGACATGATTACTTTCACTGCACGCTTTATCAGATTCATTTAGGTTGCTCCAGAGTTCAGGCTTGTGAGACAAATCGTTTATTTTTTTTCGAAGAATTCTGTTCTGTACTAGTAATGCAATATGTTAGAGTGAAACAACTATACTCACTCTTAACTTACTGCATCAGTGTACACCAGTTTAGAACTTGGTGTGGAAAAAGAACAGATCTAAAGATACATTTCGTCCTTAAACTTTAGCTCTCTAGAGGTCTTGAAATGGTGGATGTGAGGTCCCAGGGTCGCTCAGGATGAAAGCGGTCGAGAAACGCGCTTTTTGAATTGATTAAGCAAGAAGGGATCAAATTCCAATTAATTTAATTGTAGGGAATGAAAGTAACAAGCTACTTCTCTTGTAATGCCGTTACTTTCCCTGCCATTAATTACTCTGTTATGATAATGATTTGGTAATGACACATTTTTTTATGTAACAGTAACATTAGTGTATTTGTTGTGAACCATTATTGTGCTTATTAATATCATAACGATTATCAATAAAGAAAGAAACACATGTGATATATGAATACTTTAATAATATTCTTGGAAAATATCTGACAAAATAAATTTATAATTCGCAATTGTATAATTATGGACATTCTAAAATTTTAGAGTTTTCTAGTTGACATTATCTTAATATTAATGAAAAATATAACTGATTATAAAAATTACATGTGTAAACAATCTAATATATTCTTTTTATCATGATAATCTGAATACTATTCAGACCCAGGTATTTTATCATCCGCAATCCATGAAATTAAATACATACATGTCTCTTGTTCTAAATAAATATAACCTATAAGTAGGCCCTCAAAGATACCGAGAAGTATACCACCAATCACATCTAATATGTAGTGTCTTCTCATCAGTAGTCTGGACATGCATACAGAAAAGGACCACGCTAACAAAGGTGGTGAATATATCAACGATATAGGCCACAGATTGAAGAAGAAATATACAACAAATGCAGAACGAGATGAATGTCCTGATGGAAAGGAATATTTATCAGGACCCAAAGAAAATGGATCGTCATTAGTGGTTGGTCGTCTTCTTCTCGTAACTGCTTTGAGCACAGCAATCACAATGATATCGAGCAATAATCCTGAAATGATTTTTTTTTATGTATCCTAATCAATCGATTTGAGAAACATAATCAATATACTATAAGTGAATCAATTTTAATAGAATTTTATTTGAATTTTACCTATTAGAAGATTCATTTGCATTTGATACAAGGATTTGGCATTAAAAACCCAAATTGAAATAAGAGATACTGCAAGCCAAGGTATACCGTGACATGATATCTGCAGACAGATAGAAAAAAAATTAATATTCGAGAAGCTTATAACAGTAGTCAATAAAGAAATAAATAATTATTTATACCTCCAATAATTTGTTATGCACTTTTAATTGTCTTAAAGGTAAAATCTTTTCCACTAATTTGACAAACTCATCTGTTAAATAGGCATCCACTGCCAATGCTTTCCTCAACGTAGTTGAAATCTCTCTCTTGTCAGACTTGAAAATATAAAAAATAATAATTATTTATATTTTTTTTTCTTCGTAAGTAGAATTTGTAGAGAAAAAAAGAAAATATATATATGGTTAGATATATATGTAAATTGCCCATTTGCATATAAAGAGTATAATTAATAACTTGAATAATTATATACTTAAGATAACTATATGTGATATTAATATAGTAGAGACTATCATAACCAAAATAGTCAAATGAATATAAATAACGAATTACGAAAGAGATTTGAAAGACTGAAATAACTACCGTTTCCATTGTTGTCTTCCACTGATAATAGTTGCTAACGTAACAAAATGTATCAATATTATTTATCTCTGATAAATCACATTATCTACAGTGTTAAATAATCACAAGGAAGATCGTGTTAAATATTAGCGAACAGCTGATTCATACAACACATTTTTGTCTTTCCTTAAAATGGATCAATGGATATCCAAATATTCAACTCACTAAGGTTAGATCACATCACAGTCAATATGATATGAATAAATACATCAACAGCTGGACAGATGGCGCGTATTGATAAATACACGCTGTTTTTGCCCTGTATCATGTTTTCTGATAATTTCCACTTTACCAACAATTAAAAACAATTGATGATTAAATCAACATTGAATAAATAAGAATATCAGTTGTAAATCTGAATACAAATGACAAAATTCATACCTCTTTGGAAAAATCAAACGTTGTGAAATAATGCTTAATTTATTCCTTTATTTCTTACTCACTTTGTCAAATTATCTGAAGGAAAAAAAACATTTTAGATTTTTTTAATGTTATATTATTTTTAAATATTTTTATATTATTTTAATTAAAAAAATTATTTATCTCCAATATTAAATCAGTGGCATTTTGCTCGAGAAATAATATTAGCTAAAATTTGAAAAATAATTTAAAATATAAACCTAAAAAGCTTGGCTTATGCAAAAAATATAAATTCCTTAAGATTAACAAAGAATCCATAGAATATAATGGTATAAGGCGATACAAAATAAATTTCAAACTATACAATTTCAAAAGATTTAATTGAATTTAATAAAATTATTTTTTTTTATCTGTAGTATGAATAAAACTGGTTAACACAACATTCAGTTACAATGAATGTGTATATGCATAATTGATGCAACTTAATGTGACACCGATTGTACATATCACATGGAAGAGAGATAATGATCAGTTTATTGAAGTTGTGTAAGCTTGTTGAAGATTCGTCGAAGCAGTAATACAATTACATTTTACGAAAATACATCGGAATTATTTCTTTAAACTTATATACATTCTTAGAAAATTACAATATTTGTATTTTAAGTTTATTATTATGACTTTTTGTAGAGACAAAAAATGATCTTTATAATTCTTTCTGAGTAATATATTAATACACATATATTAAGAAAATAATAAATGCGTTAAAAAACTGGGGGTGTACCGGGTATTCGGGAAATATCCGGTATCCGATATTATCCGGTACTTTTTTACTATCCGATCGGATATAACACACACACACACACACATCTCCAGCTGAAATTTCGTATTAAAAGTCATTGATGCAGAATTTTATTCTTGCCAGCTGAATTTTTTGCACAGTTCTCTTTCCTCTTTTTCTTTTCATGGGAAAATAAAGAAATTTATTATCGCTATTTTTTTCTCTTTTGTTGGAAGTCAGATATCTGACCGAATATCCGGAGAAATATTCGATATCCGATATCTGATAATTTTACGATTCGGTGCATCCCTAAAGAAAACGATAGAAGTCACATAGATAAGAATGTTCGATCGTTGTACTGTCAGTTTGAGAAGTACATATATACTTATATTCTATTTAATTCGGAAAAAATTTACACACACACACACACACACACACACACACACACACACACACACACACACACACACACCAGAGAAGTGTTTAAGAAAAAATAATTTTTTCTTAGTTTTATCTCAAATGAAAGTTTTGCTACATCATTAATTTAGGCTACAGTACACTTGATGCTATAAATCCTTCAAAGTATGTTTTGATTAATCGATTAGTGAAATTCTTTTTTCTAAAGGATTAATTTTCAATCAAATACTTTAAAGTATTTGTATAGCATCAAATAGACTGCATCCTTAGTTGAATTTAAGAATACACATTTGGCTTCTCATACATTTCTAAAACGTCCATTAGAAACAAATATTATTGCGCGATAAGAAGATTGATAATAATTTATTAAAAGTTAAGTTAGATTAATTGTAGTTACTTTCGTTTAATTAAATAGCCTTAAAGCATGTTGTACGGTGAGTATGGAAAAAATAGAAATTACTTTATTAAAACATGTTAGTCCAGGTGCATGTGCTGTAGTAATTCAGCTTTCCACCGTAGCTCACGCGATAGTTTTTGATCCTGAAAATTGATTCTGTATATTAATCAGTGTAATCTTAAATATTTCAAAGATTGCTTGGCTAGAAAGCAGAACTTAATGAACAGCGTGATATAAAAGCGTCGCGGAAATGGAGCACTATTGAAGCCGCCGTAAGGGATGCATTGGAAGATCTCTTAAATTTTTCGACGTTGCGCAAGCATAAGAAAGATCATTGGATGTGATCATTGTGCGTTGCGTGTTACCTGTTGATAAATGACACACTTATCTATATATATGTATATCTTTTAAAGTGGTTGATATGTTAACTCTTTATCTAATTGTATAAGAATTATCGCATGACAAAACATACCATATAGTAGAAGACGTGTACCCTGTTAATTTTGTCACCAGTAGATATAAGGCATATTTGATAGATTGATGTATACTGAAGGATTTATTGATTTATCTGAAAGGGTTTGTTATGTCACATATACTCTATCGTTTATCTTCTAAGAAAAATTCAAGATTTTATCAAGCTTCCAGATATGGTTAATCAGTTACAGTTCGATGATCGTTGGTTTCAGCATTGTACTTTGTGATAGTCTTTCGAATTATTGCATGATTATAAGCAATAAACTGTAGAGAGTTTTGAAAGCTCCATAAATTCCTCTACGCGGAGAGAACGATTTTGCTGGAAAATTTAAAATTTTGACATTCTAGCAATCAGTTTTCTTAAAAATTTGTCTAACATAATTATTTTCAGATCTATATCTAAGTAAATTTTTTAATTTTTCAGCAAAATCATTCCTTCTGTGATAAATAATAAAAATTCTTCAATTTATATTACATCTACTGATTAGATTAAATAGAAGACGAAATATTTAATTTTTACTAATTTGCGAGAAATAATTTGGATCTCAAAGGATTAATTATAATCTTCACCTATTCTCGTCGCTTTAATGGCGTCGGATTAGACGGGTGCGATGATGAAGAGTGTTAGTAACAATCCCGATTTCTTCTTCCGATTCAGCCGATTGGCGCCGCGTCATCCCTTTACTCGGTGTACCGCAAAGAGATGAAGTAGCGGTTTTCTTCGCTTGTGGTGTTGGAAATGAGGAGCGACGGATAAGCGGGGGCGGCCGCGCTCCTAAGAATGGATAATTAAATTTTATCGTCTTACCGTCACTAATCGGGTTAAAATGGTCTCGTACTGATCGTAATACTCCGCATTGTGCCAGCAACACTCGCTAGTATCTCAATGATCGAAGACGCCATTATAAAATATTTATTTTCTGTTTAGTCTAAATATATAAATTATTCTTTACGATATTTTTGATTAATTGTTTTTTTCCGTTAAAGATATCGATAAATATCTGGAGTACAATATTATGGAGTAAAATATTGCAAAGGCAAACACATGAAAAGTATCAAAATTGAAACCTCTGATCATTCAATTTGCTTAAGGATTTCACAAGATAATTGTGTTTATAGATATTTATCAACTTTTTGTATATCTCACATATCTTCTTGATTATGATAAATATCTGTGTATTTAAAGATTATAGTGTGTTGGCCAAAAATATTAGGCACTTATCTTTTTTCATTAATTTGAAATTCTTTTATCTGTATATCCTATCAATTATCGACAGTATACATAAATTTAAAGATTTATTGAAAAAAAAAAAGGATAATTCACAGCAAACGCTATAAATAAATTTTTGAACTAAAACGTTAAATAATATGCCTAATATTTTTGGCCAAGGTTGTATGATTCCTTATTACTTTACGCACATACCTAACAGACGCAGTGTAGAATGATGCACTCCTGGTATATCAATGGACTTATGGCTTCTAATTAATTCTCTTGAAATGGGACGTCTTGTGGCGGATATGTCCACGTTGGAGGAGCAACTTCTCCGTGAGATAATCGTGCCTGCCCTAGACGAATCCTTATGCATTTTTGAAAAGAGAAGGTGCAATAGTTTCACGAATGCGTGTCTATCCGAGCATCGAGAGACGGTTTTTACTTATAGCTCCGCGAGGAAAACAGCGAAGCGCTTATCCCGTCGGTCTCTGCCGAATATCGCAATTTATTCCCCAATGGTGCAAACAACAAAGAATCTAGCTCAATCTGGGTTTAAACTTATATCTGGCGATATAGTTGAGTGCAAATCGTGCATAATGTGCTCAAACAATCAAGGATAGTAGGTAGAGTTAATTGCTCGCGTTGAAATAAAGTATCTCCGAATTATAGAATTAAAATGACGATTTCATACAGAGAAAGTGTTTGAATAATTAGGAGAACTTTTGGTAATTGTATTGTACTATTTTCAAGAAGCAAATGGCAGATTCTAAAAAAAAAAAAAAAAAAAATGTACATTCTTCAAGTGAAAATTTTCAATGATGTACGTCTCGACAGACGTATCCTACATACTTTAAGGATACCAAGTTCCAACGCAAGCGCTTAAGGACTTCTGTAATATGTGACGCAATACTTTTTCTCTGGCGAAGCGTATTCGCAGTACTTCAACGAGGGCAGCTATTACTGATACGAGCAACATCGTCACGAGTATGTGGCCTGCCACCGTGACGGACTTCATTTGACGCGACTTCAAGATCTCTTCAGCGCTTTCTTTCATTTCTTCGATGCTCTTCTTGGACCTGTGTGTTTCCTCCTCCTCATCGTCCTCATCCTCTCTACTATCCTCTTCCTCTTCAGAGTCGCTGTCATCATCGTCGTCATCTTCGTCATCGTCGCTCTCGTCGTCCTGCACGTACGTGCAATTTCCGTCGTAATCGCTCATAAAGACGGACATCAAGCGATCCTCGTACTGTAGATTCGGACAGCGCTTTAATTTTCGATGATCCATCGGTATCGCGGATTCTTTTCCTTTCTCGCCCGGGTCACTGACACCACCTTCATCCCCGTGATTCTGCTCGGAGTAATTCGTGTCGAACAACAATCGCAAAGGCAAGGACAGAAGCACGCCAAATATCGTCAGTATCAGCAAAATGCTTACGTTGATGCCCAACGACAGTCGTTTCTCTGTCATCCTGACAAAGTATATGGTACCACGTTGTTTACCTAAATATTTTTAGTCCGGGAGCAGTGCAGTCATTTTCGCGGATTTCCATGGCAACGCGAGATGTGTTAGGCTGCGTTCGAAGTAGGTTTCCAATTGAGAGTCAACCGATTCATTGCAAATTGATGATCAACCAAAACTCCGAGGACGCGCTTTCCTTTATCTATTTCTTGTCGTTGATTGAATAACTCGGATGTCGGGTACGCGACGGTGCATTCGATTCTCGCACCTCTTCGTGCCTCGTCTCGTAACGCAACTGTTGCGCGTACCGTCGTTGCAAAGCAGTTCGTAGCGTGAACCTGGATCGCTGCGATATTGATTTCTTTAGGCGAACCGAGCACGTACGCGCAAGTCTAGCTGTGCCTCGTTGGCGGACACTTGGCACATGCCGGTAATTAGATTACGCTTATGGTGAACGGGACGTGATAATGTACCACGGGGTTTTGAGCATATCGAAGGACGGCTAAGAATACTTGCGCGATAGGTCAGACATTATTAGGGGGAAAGGAAGGAGGTAAGATTTTTTTCTTAGAAAATAAGTTTGCGAGAGAGGGAAAACTCTGAGCCACGTGCTGCGTGTTGAAATCGATAATGTTAAATAATAAAACGTATCGAATTACATATTAAACATTATCGAATGACATATTTGTGGAACTGAATTTTTTACGTGTAAGAAGAATTGTTACGCGCGTGAAAAAGAATTAACGGACAAAACTGAAATAATGTTTACGAAGTCGTTTGGCCGACTCTTCCTTCGGAGAACGAAACACAAGCGCTTCCACGCGAAGCTAAGTCGTTGAGATAGATACGACTACGGTTTCCCATTGAATGGAAGAAACGGCACAAGATGTGAGACCGTGCGAGCGGCATCCTTCCGCAGGATTCTCTAACCGCATACATAAATAATATTAGACAATATCAAATTAAAATTCGCATCTTTCCGCAAGCAACAATGGGAGCGTGGTGGCGACCAACAAAGGAAACGCCTGCCGCGCCGATTCGCGAGCAAGTGGTAGTAGTCGTAGCATCGTGGCGGCGGCATTTATAAAAGTAATAAAACAGCCGAACAACAACTCACGGGAGTGAGCGGCAGCGGTGGAGACAGAGAGGAACAGTCGCGGGATGGAAAGGGCGAAAGCGAGCAGGATAAGCCGGGAGGTGAAAAGAGGAGGGCAGCAAGGGAGGAGCGAGCAAAACAGAGCGAGAGAGGAGAGAGAGATGTGAAACACAGGAGAACAGCGACCCAACCCGACCGACCGGTAGCTGAGCCAGCACACGTATATCTTGCTCTGCTACTCCGATTCTTCGAGGTTCTCATTGATGAGCTCTCCCGCGTCTTCGCGGAAGCCCCAACGATCGCGTGCGAGAGACTTTAAAAATAGCTACGATTATCCACGACAGCTTGGATGTACGGACGCAAGAAACGATTCATTAAGCGTGAAGCGGTGACGTAAGTCGCGAATAAAAAATTACAAAAGTAAGATTTTCTCACCTGTCGATGTTTCGTAAAAAAATATCCGATGAAATAGACAGATTTTGAATGGTCTGTAGTGATATGACATTACATTAATTCATTAATTACACGATTTATTATGTGAAACACTGCAAATCCATGTGTGTAAAAGTGACTGCACTATACTATGTGTATGATTAGTTTTTTGTGTAAAAATAACACTGCATACAAAAATGGATTTACATTCAAACGTGTATTATATACATAGAGCGCCATTTTCACGCGAAAAACTAATTACACACACACATGTATTATAATCTCACTTCCAACACAATTGGATTTATAGTACACCATCTAGATCTTTTCATGTTCGACCCGCTGGAAAAGTCGAATATGGTTTTTTCATTTTTATTAGCGAGTTTGCCGACTCGAGAACGGAGTAAATTTGTTATCGAAGCATGTACGTATCGCAAAGGGAACAGTGCGTTCATAATCTGCGAAAGCTATAATTATCCCGCGCGACACAATTATTTCGAGGAGCATGCGAAGAACGTGCACCGGGGAATCGATTATCGCACGCAGCACACGGGTGCGAAGGTGCGCTTCGAGGTCATCGATTGAGCGATTTTCACAGATCGTCGATCGACGATGGTGCGCGTAGGTAGATACATAGGTTGAGAGCCAGGGTATGTAGAGCAGATGCTGCGCTCCAGCCGTGGCGGGATGCGTGATTTTTCACCGCCGACAGCTCCTCCTTCGAGAACCGCGCGCATTCCACCTCTCCCCTTCTCTCCTTCGGGGCCTTACCGTCGTCTTTTCTCCCCGGGCAGCCCGGTCTTCTTCATCGTTCACTCTTGTGGCGATCGTGGCATAGAGAGTTTCGCGTCTGCTCTCTGTGAGAGATCAAAGATCCGGGTTCAAATCCACCTAAAACACATCACTTTATTTGACCATCGCACTAGTAGTGTGTCCAATAGATACACCTAATATTCGAATAAATGAATAAAAAATGAATAAAAGTACTCGCTCGAATACATTTCTTTTTTCATTTGTCAAGAAACGAACAAATAGTTTTTCATTCCATTTGAATGAATGTTTTTTTTTTTAATATGACTATGAATATTTTCATTTCGTATTCACTTTTACTTTGTATTCTTTACTTTGTATCTGCGCATAGCTTACACCGTGCGCTTAGTCCGCGACTTATACGATGGGCGTCCTTGTTTAACCTATAAATTAAACAAAGACATTTCTATTGAGAATAAATAATATATCTCAGAATTTAATGTCCGCAGACCATAATGAACGTCACGCCCAAGATATCCTATAAAAGATTTATAACATTACTATCATATAACCGGAATTATATCGAAATATATATGATATCTATCAAATAGATAGATTTAAAAATAAAAAGTGTATATCTTTCTAAAATATTTTTCAAAATTTCCAAGTTTTCTTTATAAAATTTGAATATTACAATGACAAAAATAAATAAAATTCATTATTTTTTACTTAAAGTCATTAAAGTACCGATTATATAGTTAAGAGGTAACGATTGCTTATTGGAGCTTTTTTTCCAGTTTATACTTTGTTTGAATGAATATGAATACTCGTTAAATATTCATAATTTTTTTGTGGATAAATATTTTTTGAAAACTCAAAATTTTGAATGAATATAATTACATTTTTTTTCATGTGAAAATTTTGAATAAATATAATTTGGAGCTCAATTACAAATTTTTGCATTCATCGGGCGTACTCGTCACTAGTCACTAGAGTGATAATCTGATAAAAATCTATACACGTAAAAGTAGCAACTGATGATTCGACAGTTTTCGTCAATTAGCACGAGTTTTTTGATTTTTGTAAACCATAGTCAATCAATTGGCTTAGTTGAATATATTAAAATTTTATTTTCACTTTTATTTAATTCACATTACATATCAAACGATATAATTTCTTTAAAATAACTTGTAAAAGTACTCGACACTTGCTGCACTTACAATGAGCGAGGTAACTCTCTCTTACACGATGTTAACAAAACACGTTGGATGTTATAATTAGTCTTTAGTCATCACTCGAGACGACACGTGGCTGCATACATTATGTACCTAGTCAATTCGTAATCGATCGGTTCCGAGTTTGAGATCCCAACTTTCGTCCTGCATATATCTCTTCAAAGAGGTAGATGTTTTCCCCTGATTAAGGAATATATATCCAACTTGTGCCTGCTCCAATATAACTTGACTTTAATCTCAATTTATCTTACTGTTTATCTTTTTCTAGTTCTAAGAATGAAAAGTAAGTTAAAGATTAATCTAGGTAGAAGTGAACATTAATGAATGAAGGATATACATCTTCTGTGTACTTCGTCTGCAATTACTGCACCTGTATATCGTCAAATGCACTTTCTGTATTCTTATACGCAGAATTCTAATGGAGTATCGACTGTCGTTATAAGGGGAGGTGCGACTAAAGAAATAAGCGAGCAAAATCTTTCACTCTTCGTTACGGCTGGCGCGGACGCGCGCCTCGTCTCGCTCGCTAGCCAATGTGTAGCGACTGCGGACACGCCATCGGACACCAGTTGCACGATCTTAGATTTGCCGATCTCCCGAGTGCACCGATACAGGTAGATACCCTGATGCAGGCAGATGCATGCAGGCGAGGTGCGGCGAGCCTGATGCATAGGGCGCGCCCGCGAGCCACTCCCGCAGTGTCGCGTGTAGCTCGCGATGAACGCGTGTACGCACGCGAGTCATGCAAAACAAGTGGCGTGTCCATTGACTTTTAAATTTATCTTCCGTCCCGTTGAAAGACAATTGAGCGAGTAGTCGGTCATCCTTATCAAATTTCCGATAGAGTGAAACAGGATAATTTTGATAGGTTACAGTAATTGTACAAAAGATTGAGCTCGCGTTAGCTCAATATTATATATACAAACATTTGCTATACAAACTAAAATAGTAATAAGGTTCATAAATTACAAACCGAAAGGAAAAGGGCTGTAAGCCTAAGATTAATCGTTGTAAGTTAAAAATTGAAAACGTTAATAAGTAAAACTGTCATTTAGCTGAATATAAACTTTAATATGTCGGCAATAAATAAAAAAAAAAAACAAAAAAAAATAAACGTTTCGATCCATGTCGGATAATTATCAATGTTAACAAGAAGCAATGAAATTATTACAAAGAGAAGATAAATAAAATTACAATTCGCTCTCGATTGCAGTATTAAAGTTATCAATAATATCACTCAGCTTTGCAGTAGATGTTAAGCAGAGTTTAAGCAGAGTAATTGTTTCTGTTAAAGAGTACAAGTATGATGGAAAATTATATTAGGAATAAGTAATAGTAATACAATGTAATGATAGAACTATAAAGTAAAAAGCAAGGAATAAAAATAAGAATAAACTAGTAATATATAATATAATAAAAAAAAGTACGCTGAAGACAATTAATAAGACAGTGCGATGTACAAATTATATATAATTAATTTAGTAGCAGCTAAATTAAATGAGAATAAATACTTAATAAATGTGTGTCAATGTAAAATATAAAAATGGTCTAACTAAAAAGTTGTTATATATAAACCTTTTCATCAATCATAATATTACGCTTTAAAACTTTTAGGGTGCGTTCAGACTGTCGAGCTAAACATCGAGTCGAGCCTATGTTCATATTTAAAGATCTTACATTTTTACATTATCGAAATAAATATAAATTCACATCGAATCTTTGAATGTGGACGCACCCTTAGAGTGAATTGTCACTCTAAAGAGTGAAATCAATTATTGCTAGATTTATAAAAAA